AATTTTTCAAATTTAAAAAAATTTCATCAGAATTGTAAAGTAAGAAATTTTTGAATATTTTATTAAAATTTACATATGTAATATATATTCATATATAAATTCCTAGAATTTATGTATTTCACATCATAAAAGGATGTTTTTTGATACTTCTGAAAAGTATTCCTTTGTGTAAAAAATTTGAGAAATTTTCTAAAAAAAAAAGGTTATAAAATTATTTAAAAATTATAAAAATGAAATTTACAAAAAACATTATATGAAAAAATTATATGAAAAATCCTGTGAAAAATTTTCACTATAGATCACAATTTTATTTTATGCATTGTAATAAAATATTATAGCAAAAAGGAATTAAAAAATAAAAGTATCTATGGTTTTCTCTAAATTTAATGTAGGATTTAGACCAATGACAATATGAATATGTTTGCAAAAAATGGAGTACACTCTCTCTCTTCTCTTTTCTTTCTCTTTTCTTTTTCTCTCTACGACTTGGAATCCATGTCGTAAAATTGGCAGGACATATCCACGAATAGAAACTACTGCAATGACATTCATCCCACGCCAGTCGTAAATAACTCTTCATTTTATTTTTACATAGAATTCCATTTGCGTACATCTGCGCTTTGAAGGATCCATAAAATCTTTCACAGTATTATATTAACGGACTTTTATGTTCAGTGATAAATTCCGAAATAAATGTTAAGATTTCTAAAAATATTGTAGAAGTAGTAATTTCTTATTATAAATCAAATGTTTATCGTATTATTATAAAAAAACTGTTATGATCGCTTTGAATTTTTTAGTTTAATTATACCTTATGTTATTATATATACATATAGGTCATATTTATACCTCACTTTCATCGATAAATGCACGCATAATTAACGTTACATATACTATAGAAGTTTAGAAATAAATATGCGCATTTATCGATAAAAATAAAGTATGAATATGGCAGGGATGACAAATAAAGTGTTATTTGTTATATCGTTATCGTTTCTGTTACTTTTTTATATTATAATAACGATTTGATAGTGACATTACAATCTTTTTATGATAGTAATAATAACGTCAGAGTTCGAACTATCTCACTTCTGAAAGTAACTTGTTACTATTAAGTGTTTTTTATCGAAAACTCGTTATTTTATTCGTTAGATACGAATAAAAAATATTAATTAACGCGTTATTGCGTAACAAGTAAAGTAACAAATTACTTTTTTTTTAATGAGAAACGAGTAATGGTAACGAATTATCTACTTTAAAAAAGTCTGTTTGTTCAAATTCCGACGTTATTGTTATTGTCGTGAAAAATTATAACTATTTATTACCAAATCGTTATCTTAAAAAAATAATTACGATAATAACAACGTTATAAGTAACGCCATCTCTATCATTATTTGCCATCTCTGCATTATAATGTTATGTTTAAAAATAAATGTAGCGCAGTTCAATAATTTTTAAGATTATATTATATTATTGTAGATTGTGTAGAATTGCAGCGGTTCAAATGTATAAACAGAAGTTAAGCTAATTTATCTTTGCAATTTTGACAAAAGTAAATTTAAAAACTCAATCTAGAACTACCGTGAAAGTTTATATAACATTACTATAGGAGGATGAAATTCTGTTCCTGTATCCGATAGTTCGTTATATGTAGATTACAATTTCACATGACCTTTATGGTTTCAGATTCAATCAGGCATCATGAAGACAACAACAAGTTTAATTACTATACGAATTATTATGTTCTATCTGTTGAGCGTTGTTGGACGATCAGCAGTGGCAATAGAAGAAGCATCTTCCTCGTCTTTACACATTCAACGATTGCATCCGTTATTAAACAACATGGAATATAATGAAGAACCTATGAAAAAGGCATACATTGCCGAATATAAGAGATTACCCCTTTATACTTTCGGTATTGGAAAACGATGGATTGACAATAATGAAGATAAAGTGAGTTTTAAATGAAATGAAATATCCTCTTTTAATGTTTAAAAATGAATGAATTTTTCTGTTACAAAAAAATTTAATTATAGAAATGTTACAAATCCAGCAAATATCCGAATAAATAGTGCAATTACAAAAATTGCGTAATAAATTTTTGTAATTAACAAACATGAACTTTTATTATGTTACTTGTACTTATACGATACAATACTATTAAAAGTATTATAAGATTGTAACATATAAAATTCGATTATATTTTAATTAAGGTCAAAATTAATGTTTCTTCAATGTAATGTTTTCACGTTTTCAATTTTAAATATATTGATTCGGACTTTAATAACATAAACTTTAACATATCAATGTTTTATTATACAAGTTGTAATAATTAATTAACATACAGAAAAATAAAAACATCCATTAATTAATTTAAATAAGAAATTAAATAATGGATATTTTTATTGTTCTGATAATATTTCTGATAATTGTATCTTTATGTGTTGAAATTGTATCTTTATACATAGCGAACCCGGCAATTTTCGTTCGGTATTGGCAAGCGTCTCCGAAATTACGATTTCGGTATAGGAAAGCGCAACAATGAATATCATCCTTTGGACTATTTCTTGGTCGATAACATGGGGAACTATCAATCTCACGAGGACAACTCAAATGATTTTATAGAAAACAAACGTGGTAATCATCAATTCGGCTTTGGAATTGGAAAACGAGTTTGGAAATTGGCGACTAGAGAAACGGCTGTATCCGGAAGAAGATTAAACGATGCTATAGTCCCGAAATACTGGTTCAGTACTTTGACCAAAGAACTAGATGAGAATGAGGATTTGAATCAGTAAAGCGTTCTTGTTGAGGAGCACGAATTGTTATTTTTCTCATTCGCTTTAATTCTTAAATAATTTTTTTTAGAAGAAATATCTGGTTTATTTGTTTTCGAAAATATTTTTGCAAAATGCAATAGCAAATAGATAAAAAAATGTATGATTTAATTTTTTAACGTTTCGAATTTTAGATGTATCGGATTAAATTTTAATGAACAAATTATTATTATAAAATTAACGTGTTGACACTCTATATATTGTACAAATTATAATAATTAATGACATACTAACTGATAAGATTTATTGATAAATAATAAATTAAATAATGAGTGTTTCTATTTTCTGATAAATAATAAACTCGAGCTTATCGACATTAAAATCACATATCACCACGTAAGGTATAAAGCACCTCCATAAATTGACGTAAACATTCTGTATCTAATAAAAAATAAATTAAAAAGCAATTGTATAAAAATAATATTAATTTTTATAATAATTTTAATCTTTTGTTGGTTTTCTCCTTTGAATTTTATTATCACTTTTTCAAAGAAAATGCAATAAATTGAAGGTGCTTTATATTTAGCGAAAAGTTGTAGATAACATTTTTTTGTCTCATATGTTAATATCATGTTGTACGATTTATTGAGTGTCGAGAGCAGAATGAATTATCCATGGAAATTAAAATTGACAATAAAATGTCAAGATTTCTTTTTTCTAAAAGCTGATATAAAATTCGTGCGCCATCGACACTTCTTCTTCACTTGTAAATGTTTAAAAAAATAAAAAATTACGCAGATACCTTAATGAAAAGATACATTTAACGTAGAAAAATTCTCTAAATGTTTTTTTTAAGCAAATAAGCTGTTCAATTTTATTACTTTCTTATATTTCTGTAATACTTCTTAATTAATAATTCAAATGTTTGTTTAGTGTTTTGTAAAAAAAAAACATTCAAACTCAAATGAAGAGAAGAAACTATTTCTTTCAACATATAAGTCTGTTTGTATGTTATTTATGTATCTCGATTTTTTTAACGCTATATTGATTCAAAATGAAGTTTTTTTAAAAATAATTGGTTAATATTGCACAATCATGGAATAGAACTACTATTGATTAAAGCGAATTATTAAGTTAATTAACTGTATTTTTGTATTATAATGAATTACATTGTAATTTAGTCAACAATTAAAACAATTAAATGCAATTTACTATACGATAGATAGAAATAATATTTCAATGTTCTAAAAAATTATAAGCCATCTTAATCGCGGCAGTATTATACTTATCTTTATTATTCGACGATTATATTTCTAATTGTAGAAATAGAAAAAAGTAAAACTATTGCAATTGTACCAATGTTTTTAATGTTATAATAAATCTTGTAATTTTTTCCGTTATACATATGTGAATATTTTTAATATCATTTTAATTGTCAATTAAATGAGAATTTTGTTAACAGTAAATCCTATCACTGTTTTTACGTGTGATGTAATAACAAAAATTTATTCTATCAAGCATATCATTATAATCATATAATAAATGAATGCAAATATATTAATACATTTAATACCAATTGCGAAAATTTAATTTCCCATGTGTTTTGTGTTTAGAATAAATATTTGTTAATATTTATTAATGACAACAATATTTAAAATTTGTTTTAAAAATAATATATTTTAATTTCTGTGCAGACAATTTAAATTTTGGCTTATGTATTTATAAATAAACATATTTATGATACAATGGCTTTTTAATTAATAACGATACATTGTATACTTCTCGGTCATCTAAATTGTAAGTGTCCAAGTATGCAATGTATAACAAATATCATTAATTTTTAAAATATAAATTAATAATTGAATATTATATAATTAATTTCAACGAACCACTAGATTCATGGAGATTTAATCGTGACAATTATCACAAGTCCATGCCAGACTATCATGAATTTGACACGCCCCCAATTGACTTCGATCATAGCGGAGCTTTCAGTTATTTCCAGTCGTGTTCAACTTCTTCTCACATTATTTTCGGAATTTGTTGCAAATCATTAATAGCGACTATTTAAATTCGTTGTACTGTTTGATATCTCTTTATCTTCATGTAAGTGATAATTAATTGAAGAGTAGCATCCGTCGTATCTCCTTTCAATTGACTCTTTAAAACGTTTATGTAATATGCTTGTCGCTTTTCATCGTAAAATCATATTGTGCGTTATCTTGATATCAAGATGTTCAGCCTTGTTTTTCGGTCAGAAATATTGGCTTCCGGATCTAGAGTGGCGAACCGCGAGCAATTGGGCGAACAATCATATCCCAGAGATCGATAGTCATGTGATCTTTCCTCAGCAGACTCGACACGCGGTTGGCATCTCCGGAATGGACAATCTTAGGCTATCTGGAATTGATTTACCATGGCAGGGATTATTGGTACTGCCTAGAGATGGTAAATTGCAGGTAAGATCAAGTTATAGATTCTCTCTTGAGAAAATATACAGGTAGTTAATAAAATAATCAGATGTATGTATATAGGTATTGAGATACAGTCTTATAATTAGTACAAAAAATAAAATACCCTTACAAATTAACGTAAACATTCTATATTTAACGAAAAATGAATTAAAAACAGTTTATTAAAAAATAATATTTATTTTCATAATTTGAACATTTAATTAGTTTTCTTTTGAATTTTATTATCGCTTTTTCCTAGAAGATGCAATAAATTGAAATTGTTTTATACTTGTGGCAAAAGCTATACATATTTGACCGTCCTTTTTCCTTTTCCTTGAGTTTAACGTATTCGCCAATGGAAGAAAGTATTATTAATTTACAAAGTATCGTAATATTTACTATTTAAATCATACACTTACGATAATTATAACACTAAAGTTTCAATGTTGCTATGTCATTAGCTGTTTAACTTAATTAT